ACTCTAAAGCTCAATATCTCAAATTCAGTCAGTACACAGACCGAACCTTAGAATTCCAACGTATCAATTTAGTGGCTAATTTCGGTCCTACAGTTTTTATAAAAGGTGCTTGGCACCAAACCCCACACTTAAACCCAACCGTAATTGAGGATGAGCAAATCGTACTAAATTGTAGGAATGAAGTCGTACAAATTCATTCGAATTAGCCACTGAATCAAAATGTTCTTTCCTAAAAAGCAAGCGTGTGACTGATCTATTTTGTTGTTATCCTTCGTTGTGATCCTCACTCTTTATTACAGTAATTATCTACAGTCTAAAAAAGCAGTAACACAGCATTGCTGTTGCTATTCATTTCATTCATTCATAAACGGCTGTCTCAGGGTGTGTGACAGATGAGGAGTAACTATAAATCGCTCAGTAAACATGTGGTATGGATGGTATTGTGCTCATGGTTTCATTTTGATACAATACACTAAAGGTACTGAATCATGTACCACATTAAAAGCTGTTAGTCATTTTCAATTGTGAATATAGGCATTGCAAATATATATTTTCTCCTTCTTATGTGTGTCTTATGTCCTTCTTCCTTCAGTTTGTGTGAGATTAAGTATTAACTTTAGTTGATTTGTGATTGCATTGTTCTTGTTTAGTTTAATTTGGCGGTGATCCAACCAAACATATTTTCTTTTGTTCCAGCAGATGTTGCCCCAGTAAAAAGCCGTCGGAGCATGATGTTCAAAATCAGTCAAACCTCCTCCGAAACGACAGCAGGTGAAAGAGCAACTTAGAAGAAAGGGTAAGTCAAATATTATCCTCCATACGCGATATTTTCACAATTTCTCCTTTGTTGTGTCATGGATGCTATTAATCTATTTAACTATTAAATTATAATAAATGGCCTTGTAAGCCAATTAAGTATATTGTTTTAAATAAAACAGTAATACAGTACATGTTCTTTAACATTTTGATCCTTGCATATGATCAAAATTCTGAATTATTGTAATCACTCACAAACATTCTGAATTAAATAATCATCATGCAGTTTTATGGTACTGTAAGAATGGGTTTTAACCACAGCGGTTTGAACTGTAGTTCTGCCGAATGACTAAAAAGTTATCAGCATGATGATAAAAAAAAAAAAAAAAAAAACTATACATTTCTAGTCAAACCATTCTTTTGCAATCTCAAACCAAAATTTAAATAAGGTAAAATAAAATAAATGTAAATAAGGGCAGTATTAATAACTATAAATATGGGAGAGCATTGATTTTATGTTGATTTTATGTGATTGTATTGTATTGCAATATGAAACAATTAAGTGTTGAAGTTAAATCAAAAGTAATTCACAAATACTTGAAAATGAGATGATTTAATGACAATAATTCTCTATGGTTACAACTGTATTAATTACAAAATAACTGTATAAAATGATAAAATATGAAATGATAAAACATATAATATAAATTGTTTCCAGCTTAAATGTAAAACTAGAACCTAAAGTTTATTGATAAACTTTGATGTTGGCTTGAGAAAGCCAACTTGACTGCGCTAGGACTGGGAATGGCAGTTGGCAGGAAGCACGGCGGCGGTTGCTAAGTGGCTGTATAGCAGTTGCTAAAACAATTATGGCATTGTTAGGTAGTTGCTAAGCAGTTGCTAAATGGCAATGCTCGTGTACATGTTTGATCAAATGCAAATACTTAGTAGGCATTTCTAGCATATGTTATTGCATTTAGATAATCATTCACAGCATGTAGCTAATCGTTATTAGCACTTGGCTTCCCATTATCATTGTTACCATGCATAGTACACAGGAAGTCCCATTTGCTAGCATGAGTCATACAAGCCAATGCCCAGGTCCCTACGATGTTCTGATGTAGAGATATTGCCTTTTTTAAATGGTTGCTAGGTTATACTGTTTTATTGCTATGGGGACATTTGACAGGTTAGTGATGATACATCAAAGCTTCTTGGCAAAATGAGTGATCTAAATCAACCCCGATGTTTCTATGACAGTCTTTATGAGTGTCAAAAACTGGACTTGAACATTATGTATTCCTGATGTTGGGTTGCGGCTGGAAGGGCATCCGCTGTGTAAAACAAATGCTGGATAACTTGGTGGTTCATTCCGTTGTGGCGACCCCTGATTAATAAAGGGACTAAGTGAATGAACATTATGTAAAAATGACTTGCCGTATTTTTTTGAAAATACAATGCTTAATAAGTGTGAAACTGATACATGCAAAAATGGCTTGCCATATCAGTAAAATATATGGAGTTTAAGTCAAAAATGACTTGCCATATTTTAAGAAAAATAATGCTTAAAAATAATTTATTGGAAAACAGTAAGTCTGATAAATCTTAAAGATATAGCAACAAAATCTAACGCATCTAAATACAGCCTTTGGCCATATTTGGGGCTTGTATAATTTTTTTATATGCCCGGATTATAAAAATTTAATATTTAACATTTTTTATTAAAAAAAACAATAAGTCTTATAGGCATGAGGAGATATAGCAACAATCTTGAATGTAGAAAGCACATTTTGACCACATTTGGGCCTTGTGGCATGAACGGCCTAGGAGGAGATACGTTTGTTTTCAAGGACAGAGTAGCATAACAGTATTTTGGCTTTCTCAAGCCAATATAATAACAGTATGTTGGCTTTCTCAAGCCAACATAATTAAAGGTACCAGAGGTAGAGGGAGAGACACAGGGGGAGGGAAAGAGAGACAAAGGCCCCGTTTACACTAGTGCGTTTTAGTTTTAAAACGGCGTTTTAGAATGAAAACGATCCGCGTCCACACTCGCGTTTTACCCAGCGTTTCTGAACTACTCTCCGTCCACACCAAAACGCTGAAAACGCTCATCACGTGACCACACAGACACTCTCGGGCAAGCGCTGCAGCCCATCTACCCAGATGAGAGCTGTGCTAGTCGGACTGCTCATCAAGCATCTCCCGCTGGATCTAATCTCACTATATTTATTAAACAGAATATTTCATTCATCTTGTTGTCTTTATCTAACGACATATTCCCTGACTTTGGTCATTGGAATCTATTACTTTTTCTCAGGTAACGTGTTTTGGCTGAGCGCAAAGATTAGTTAATGATTAATGTAACCACGTAGCCTGTTCTGTATATTGACTGATCGCTTGCCTTTATTTCCTATAATGTATAAACTTATTGTATGTTATACTTTTATAATGGCCATTATCGATTATTAAAACTGATATTCAGCAAAAGAGAGGCTGTGTTTCGTATTTTCACTAAAATTGAAAGGAGACAGTTGTTATCGGCTCCGTTTTGTTATAAATATCCACACAGTGAAGATGACGCTCATAAATGCAGCACGACGCCTCAACATTTCAGCTGTCTAAGTTGCTAATATTAAAATGAAAATAGGCAGTTCCTTATATCATGTTTTCATTTTATTGTTGAGAAAGTGAAACAACGTAGCCAGAGTGATGTGAATGAAGTTATAAAGTACACTGTTCCCTTTGAAGATTTACCCGTGTCCTCGGTATAGTCTGTTTTCCATATCAAACTGAGAAGAAGAGACTGCAGCCTTGATCAAACTTGTGAAGTCTGAACTTACAAGGAGAGGATGCAGGACTGAACTTTGTGTGTTAAGCTACTTAATATTCAGGAAAAGCCCCAATCAGACAGGCGAATGTCTGCAGCCCCGCCTCCGTTTTCAGATGTCTCCGTTTTCCATCATCCACACTGAGACGGAGCAGCAGCGTTTCAGAATGAAAACGGCCTCTCCAGCGTTTTCGAAACGCTCGAAAACTCCGGCGTAGTGTGGAAGGTTGGCGTAACCGTAGCAAAACATATGCGTTTTCAAACTAAAACGCATTAGTGTAAACGGGGCCAAAGAGACCAGGCCTAGAAGTTAGCCTGATTGCAGTACAGTCAGAGAAGATAGACTCCAGAGGATGAGAGGAGCAGAGCAGGAAAAGACAGGGCAGGCAAAGAGAGGGCAGGAAAAAGAGACAGAGCAGAGTTTTACTTCTATTTTGTATCTTTCTTGACCATGTAACTAAAGCCCAACTGGTGAGACAATTAAACTGACCAATCAACATGTGACCACATCATAAAACCCCCAAAGTCCACATACCAGGCCCTGATATTATCAGTTTCTGCCTTTGGAGTCAGTATGGACCTTCTTGAGTCAAAAAGAAATGTTTTGTCATATAAACAAATGCATAGGATAATTTAGCCTCTTGCAGTAATAAAATGCATTTGAATTAAAATATTAATTATATAATAAGTGTGCTTGTAATGCACCGTTTTTATCTAATGCTGTATGTAGTTAAATGCCTTATATAATTTAGAAGCCTTAGAATATTGTTGTTAAAAAAGACTGTAATTTCAAACTTTTAATTATTTAATTACTAATAAGTCATTTTTTTAATTATTGTATTAATTGTTGCTGTTATTAGTTATTATTATTATCATCTCTCTGATTACAGAATAAGAGCTCTGACATTCCTGATTTACCTCTGACTTCATCATCATGAGATTAATTCTGGTTTCATTGCATCTGCTGATGTTCTTAGCACTTCTGGATCAGTGTAAGAGTTTTTGTTTGATTATTCATAATTTGACAAACATTTGTGGTTTTGAATGTAATCATCTGCTTTTCTTTAACAGCTAGAGCACAAACAGCAATGACTATAGGTAATTATCACACATAAAAGCACATAGCACATGAAGATTCTTAATTGACATCAATAGCTTCATACTTTTGACATCCATATATTCAATTCAGGTTATGCAGAACTTTATATGTTCCACCAAAGGCCCTTTAGATTATGTAAATGCATTTCCCACTATAAATGAAAAGTTATTTTATCAACAGTTTACTAAAATGTTCTTTATAGAATCCTGAACGGTTTTTCTATACTAGGGATGCACAAAATCTGTCCTGCAAGAGTTTAGTTTCAACTTGCCTCAACACACGTGCCAGGACATTTCTACAAAGTCTACTATGAGCATGATTACCTGCCTCAGGTGTGTCTGATGAGGATTGAAGCTAAACTATGCAGGACTGAGTTTGGGTACCGCCTGTTATATTCTGCATCACTGAAAAGAAAACTATCTTTATTATTATTTTTAATCTTTAGTCTTTAAAAATTTGTTTTAGATCATATTTGTGTTAAAACATAATCTTCAATCATCCCACCCCAAGTTCATTTTGTCATAAAAAAAACATGTCATCAGAGGAAATTTTACACTTCATGATATTCCACAATTTATCCTTTCTTGTGTCACAACTACTATTGTACTATTTAATTACTATTATATTTTAATAAACGGCCTACAGTAACATGTATGTACAGTAACAAGTGGCATATTGTTTTTACAAAAACAGTAAAACAGTACACATTCTCTATCCTAATTTACCTTCAAAAAATGCTGTTTGCTGTTTGTTCGTTGTTTAAAATTAGCTAAAACAATACAAGTCTTGAGTTTTTTTTGTGGGGAAAGCTTAATTGTCTTATGTTATATCCACACTCTTAATTTTTCACTCCATTTTCAGTCATTTGAGTTTGACCAAGTAAATCTTGAAGGTGCATATTATTTACGCTATATGCATGTTTTGATGGACTGGTGCTTGTTTTTAAATAATTTACTTATTTACATTTTTAGTAATTTTTTGTTATAATTTTTATAAAAAAGTATTATAGATTGTATAAATCTTTTTTGTTCTGTTTCATGCTTATGCTTAAAAACGGTTATAAACAATATATGTATATTATATATATATATATATATATATACACATATACACACACACACACACACACACACACATACATATACATATATATATACATATACATATATATATATATATATATACATATACATAAGAAAACCAGAGCATCCGAAGGAAACCCATGCCAAAACATGTAAACTCCACACAAAAATGCTAACTGATCCAGCTGGAACTCGAACCAGCGACCTTTCTGCTGTGAGGTGACAGAGCTAACCACTGAGCCACCGTGACACCAAGTGTTTTAGTAGTTAAAAAAAGAAATAAAATAAAACATAAATCGATTAAATTAAGAAACACTTAACTTTCTAAAACAAACAATTCAAAAAAGCTACCTAAAGATCACTTGGATTTTTATTTTGCTTATGTTGCATCCACTACAGAAACGACCACCCCAGAGACCACTACAGACACAACAACTCCAGAGACCACTACAGACACAACAACTCCAGAGACCACTACAGACACAACTCCAGAGACCACTACAGACACTACTACGGACACTACAACTCCAGAGACCACTACAGACACCACTCCAGAGACCACTACAGACACTACTACGGACACTACAACTCCAGAGACCACTACAGAAACTACTACAGACACTACAACTCCAGAGACCACTACAGACACTACTACAGACACTACAACTCCAGAGACCACTACAGACACAACAACTCCAGAGACCACTACAGACACAACTCCAGAGACCACTACAGACACTACTACGGACACTACAACTCCAGAGACCACTACAGAAACTACTACAGACACTACAACTCCAGAGACCACCACAGACACTACTACAGACACAACAACTCCAGAGACCACTACAGACACTACTACAGACACAACAACTCCAGAGATCACTACAGACACTACTACAGACACAACAACTCCAGAGACCACTACAGACACTACTACAGACACAACAACTCCAGAGACCACTACAGACACTACTACAGACACAACAACTCCAGAGATCACTACAGACACTACTACAGACACAACAACTCCAGAGACCACTACAGACACTACTACAGACACAACAACTCCAGAGACCACTACAGACACTACTACAGACACAACAACTCCAGAGATCACTACAGACACAACCATTCCAGAGAGTACAGACACTACAACTATTGAACCCACTACAGACATCACTATTCCAGAGCCATTCACATTTTCAACAGGTAACAATGCTGCAAGTAACGGAAGACTTATCATTTTACTAAACAATGTATTCTTTACAGAGATGTTTAATAATTGAATACCTATTTTTTGACAGTCGTTGCATCAACAACTGCATGGACAGGTATTTGTTAACTTATACAAAATTTAAAATGGTACTCAAATCAGTATTGACATTGACTTGTAATAACTGCTCTTATCTTCATTTGTATTTTTGCTGTTTATGCTCTCGACAGCCCCACCAATATTCTATCCATTCGGCTCAGCAGCAGGAGACTCTGAACATCTTGAATCTGACTTGGAGAGCTATAAATATGTGGCCTTCTCTACTCCATTTACATACTTTGGCCGCAAGCACAGCAACATATATGTGAGAATTCAGTTCCCAGTCTAATATGAATGCAAATGTTGTGACAAGCCTTTTCACATTTTACTGATTTCTTTTATTTCAGGTTAATTATAATGGACTCCTTACGTTCAACCAGTATTTAACAGAAACTTCAATTTATGCCTTTCCTACATATGGAAATGAAGATTACATTGCTACATTCTGGACTGACCTTGATGACTATGGTATTGGCAAATATTGGTATCAGGAGTACACAACTGGAAGTGTGCTCGACCGGGCCACTCAGGATATAAACCAATATTTCCCAAACAGGGGCTTCACTGCTTCTTGGGTCTTCGTTGTCACATGGGACTATGTGTTTACAACAGATTGGAATACATTTAATCTTCACTTAAAACCGGTAAACATAGTACAGTACAGCAGAGTATGACTTTTTTATAGTATGGTATAGACTATGATTATGATTTTTTTTGTTTGTTTGTTTTTTAGGCAATCACATTTCAAGCAGTTTTAATTTCAGGAGGTGGTCTTTCTTTCATTCTGATGAATTATGGTGACTGCGCAGCAATATCTAATCTAGTGGAGGTAAAATTATCAAAGGATTAAAATAGTATGCTTTATTTATGCTTTATGCTTCGACTGTATATTTAACATTAATGTACATGGCTTTGATAGGCTGGATATGATACCATAAACTCAACTGACTACTATGTGATACTTCATAATGATAATGGCTTTTCCATCCCAAACCTTAAAAACACGACTAATGTAAATGTTCCTGGTCGTTGGGCTTTTCTTGTCAACAATGGGACAGGTAGGACCTACATCAAGATTGTGTGTTACAATAAACAGTTTGCTTATATGATATTATTATATGTCTTATATTTACAGAAAACATCATAGAACTTCAAATTAACCTTAGGTCATTTTTAGACCTAACACAGACTGAAAACGTTCAGAGTGTTTTGCACCTTGTAAGTCACATCTCATGTATATATATATATATATATATATATATATTTTTTTTTTTTTAATTAGAGTAAAAGAACAATCTTACATCAATGTATATACATCTAACAAACCTTATTATGTTAAACTATCCTCAACAAAAGCTCATCGTGATAATGTATCCCTATATACATTTTTGGAAATCACAAATTATGTAGCCAGAGGTCTGTACGGCTGCATTTCGTCTTTAAAACTAACCCTATGGGGCAGTTTGACACCATTCCTTTCCACGCTACCAGCTGACTGCTTACCTCCATATGGATGGCTTTCCCGCTGTCACCAGTTTGTCCAGTTAGCTCACCATATTTGTGTGCAGACCTGGGCCCTCATGTACTAAGACTTGCGTGGAAATCATACTAAAACATTGAAGAAAAAATAAGTACAACAAAAAAATAAATACAGAAAAAAATTCAGATGTATGAAACGCCGAATCTCACGCATATTCTTTTGTACATCTGAATGAACGTGAAACTGAGCGCAACATGCACGAGCACAAAACCCCTCCCTGCCTCCTCCCCCGTATGAATATGCAAATGACTCTACTTTGGCAAAACCCAACGAAAAAGCAATGGCAAAAGCAAGCAAGAAGAGAAACTTTGAACAGAATGTGAATTGGAGGTGCTGCTTTCGGAGGTAGACCGGAGAAAAACGGTGTTATTTGCAAATTTGTCCTCCGGAATTAACAACAAAAGAAAAAAATAGAGTGGGAGAGTTTAGCTGACGCGGTTAACACAGTTGGGTCTAAACATTGCACTGAGTGAATTACAGAAAACATAGTGTGATTTATAGGTGTAACATGTTGCACTACCCTTAACAGTCTCAGTGGCGCAGCTCGTAAAATGCATGTCAACATGGTTTGACTCGTTCAAGCATGAACTTGATTCGAATCCAGCGTCTGATGAACTCATTCTTTTTTTCCCAGCTACATATCAGATTTTACCTTCTATTTATCACGAGAAAGACAAGTAGGAATCATTAATAAGTCTGTGCATCATATTTTATATGCACATTTATTGAATGGAAATGTTTCTGATTCACGCATGCAAATTCATCTTCAAATAGTGTCTTTATAGAAATGTGTGTGCGGTAGATAGCTCAGATTACATTGGGAAAACAGGCGACCGCTGCAAATTGTGCTTTAATGTTTAGCTGGTCAACTGTATGGTATGGAAACCTTATATACCTGCTAGATGAACCCGCCTCATACAGCTGCCATTGCAAGGCTCAGACACTTTGTAGAGAGGAATTTAACACAACTGCCTCTAGGAGTCGCCAATGGAAATAAAACAGACACGCACAAAAAACGTGCGTACGCCAGCCATAAAGCTGGCATGGAGCTGCGCACATTCCCACGTTCAGTTCATCGTTAGTAAATCCAAACGTGAGCAATTCTGAGCGTGAAACCTGGCGTACGCAAAGTTTTTGTGCGTACGCAGCGTTGATACATGAGGACCCTGGGACGCAGAGAGGAGCTGACTGCAACGAGGGGGTACAAGTTTGACGAAGAACGGTTCCAGAAAGCATCTAAGCCAAAAAATAAAATAAACAAGTAAATAAAAGGGTGAGAACATGGTAAAATTTGAAAATGTGGTAAAAATCATCTGGCTTTTTTCCTAAATTGCTTTTCAAAACAGTGTCGGTTGGGTTTAGGAAAGTGGGTGGGCGCTGGTCAATCTGTGGTTTTTAAAACACTCTCAGTTACATTTAGTGAAGGGGGTGGGTGGGATTGGTCAGTTGGTCCGTCAGTAAGTCAGTCAGTTGACAGCGGCCTCTGGTGGATTTATGCAAGAAAAGCAGGAGTGAATGGTACTTGCGAGAGAAATTTGAGATCTCAAATGTGTACACAGCAGCCTCTGGTGGATTTGCAAAAACAAAAACTGCAAAAAAAAAAAAAAAAAAACGTAGCTCCGGGGAGATCTTACGTGATCTCCAAAAATCTTTATAGGACTATGTTTTCAGAATGAGCCTGACTTAACTATCTTACAGTAACTTTGCTTTTTTTTTTAAGTTTTTTTTTTTTTATAACCCGTAGAGCAGGCATGTTCCTGGAGATCGACCTCCTGCAGATTTCAGTTGCAACCCATATCAAACATACCTGCCTGTAATTATCAAATTAATTGGTAATTATTAAATTAATTAACCTGTAATTATTAAATTAATTAACCTAATTAATTGGTTTAGGTGTGTTTGATCAGGGTTGGAGCTGCACTTTGCAGGAAGGTCGATCTCCAGAAACAGGGTTGAGCACCGCTGCTTTAAAGTATAATTGAAGAATTTAAATGCAAAAAACCTCTAAATGCCGTTTGATATTTTCTTCAAAAATTAGCATTTTTCTCAGACTCTTGAGTGTAGTTTTAGAAATTTTACTTTTATGGTGATGAATAAGTTCTTTTGATTGCCTTTAAAGGGAAATGCTTGAACATAAACATAGACAACTGAGAAAAATGCTAATTTTAGGAGAACATTTCTGATGGCATTTAGAGGTTTTTGCATCTGAACTCTTCAACTGAAAAAAATTAAATACATTTTAATTTGTGCATATTGTATTTATTTTTTAGATAAAACAGGAGCTGGTCAATCGAGGAGTGTCAAGCCAGTTTGGGCTGAAATTAAGAAAACTCGAAAAGATATGGCCGTGATACAAGAAAAGGACTTAAATCTCTTATGTTGTTGCCACTGATGTAGACGACAAGGATGTTGACCAATTCAATTTCTTTTTTTCACCTAACACATAAATTAACTACACACAAACATGAATGAATGATATTCATTGATCCTCTTATTTCTTCCTATTGTCAGATACTGTGGGAATGTTTCAGAGAAGCTAATTAAACCAGCCTGTAGTATGTGAACAATGTCATTAAACCTGTTGTTCATCAACAGCTCTGTTTATTGGAATCATTACTTATCCTTGACTAAAAAACATAAGCATAAGTATATAACATTGCTGAAGTGATTTCTGCTGTGAATATTGTAATGTTGTAATCTCAAGAAATAGAATAGGCTCACAAAAAAAAAACTGGTGGGAGTGTTTATGACAACAGATTTTAGCCGTTTTTTCACTGAACATCGAGTTAGAAACGTAACAGAAGCTTTGTCTACTGGCTCTGGCTGGGTCACAATTTGAAAGTGTCTGAGGATGAGGGTGTGTCGAACTGTTCATGCTGCTGGCATTTGTTGAACCTGACTACCTTCAAGTGAACAATGATTTTGTTCCAACATACTTTGGATATTAATCCACAAGCTCTGACGTAAAAAAAATAAATAAAAGTATATGACGTTTTGGAAGTGAATTCAAAGCATTTTCACGATTGTTTGTTTTGCTCGCCGTCTGCTATTATCATAGTTCAGATATCAAATATTATTCATTAAGTAAACAATCCAAAAATCCCTTTTTATTGCCTAAACAATCCTACATCTATGTCTATTATTTTATATCTATGTCTATATATAGCAATGTCATTAAACCTGTCGTTTCCAGCTCTGTTTACTGGAATCATTACTCATCCTAGACTAAAAAGCATAGGCATAGTTATTTATTAATAGTTATTTCTCTCATTGACTTTCTAGGGATATATCTGCTATGACAGTCTCAATGAAATGTCTCAAAACTTATGGAATTATTTTACTTAAATTGTTGCGTTTTGCGGTGACGCAATGACCCAGTAGGTAGTGCTGTCGCCTCACAGCAAGAAGGTCGCTAATTCGAGCTTCAGCTGGGTCAGCTAGCGTTTATGTGTGGAGTTTGCATGTTCTCTATGCATTTGCGTGGGTTATCTCCGGGTGCTCCGGTTTCCCCAACAGTTCAAAGACATGCGGTACAGGTGAATTGGGTAGGCTAAAATTGTCCGTAGTGTATGAGTGCGAATAAGTGTGTATGGATGTTTCCGAGAGTATGGTTGCAGCTTAAAGGGCATCCGCTGCGTAATACATGTGCTGGATAAGTTGGCGGTTTATTCCGCTGTGGCGACCCTGGATAAATAAAGGGACTAAGCCTCAAAGAAAATGAATAAATGTGTTTTGCTGTGAATATAGTAATGGTTTTAATTTTTATCTCAAGAAACAGTATAGGCTCGCAAAAAGCTAGTGGGAGTGTTTAAGACAACATTTTTTAGCAGTTTTTCACTGAACATCAAGTTAGAAACATAACACACAAGCTTTATCTATACTGGCTCTAGCTGGGTCACAATTTGAAAGTGTCTGTGGATGAGGGTGTGTCGAAATGTTCATGTAGGCATTTGTTGAACCTGATTACCTTTAAGCGAACAATGATTTTGTTCCAACATACTTCAGAGATTAATCTGCAAGCTCTGACATAAAAAAAATGTATATTATATGACGTTGCTGAAGTGATTCAAGCATCCATAGTTCAGATAACAAATATCATTCATGAAGAAAACAATCCAAAATCCCTTTTTTTTTTTTTTATTGCCTAAACAATCCTACATCTATGTCTATGTTATATCAGCTCTGGTAACTGGAATCATTACTCATCCTTTAGGCAGTCCCTTATTGACTTTCTAGGAACATATCTGCAGCCTAAAATGACAGTCTCAAATGATTTTCTGTTTTTCTTTTATCTCAAGAAACAGCATTGGCCCGCAAAAACCTGGTGGGAGTGTTGAGGACAACAGATTTTCGCAGTTTTTTCACTGAACATCAAGTTAGAAACATAACACAGAAGCTTTATCTGTACTGGCTCTGGCTGGGTCACAATTTAAAAATGTCTGAGAATGAGGACGTGTCAAACTGTTCATGCTGCTGGCATTTGTTAAACCTGAGTTCGTTCCAACATACTTTGGAGATTACTCTGCAAGCTCTGACGTAAAATAAATAAATAAATAAATAAAGTATATGACGTTGCTGAAGTGACTTCAAACACTTTCACGATTGTATGTTTTGACCGCCATTGTCATAGTTCAGATATCTAATATCATTCATGAAGTAAACAATCCAAAATCCCTTTTTTTTTTTTTTTTTTTTTTTTTTTTTTGCCACAGGCATGTCCAAACTCGGTCCTGGAGGGCCAGTGTCCTGCAAAGTTTTGTTCCAACCCAATCAGACACCTGGGCTAGCTAATCAAGCTCTTACTAGGTTTTCTAAAAACATTTTTGCAGGTGTGTTGAGGCAAGTTGGAGCTAAAATCTGCAGGACACCGGCCCTCCAGGACTGAGTTTGGACACCCAATCCTACATATGTTATATAACACAGGTGTCAAACTCAGTTCCAAAAGGGCCGCAGCTCTGCACAGTTTACTTCCAACCCCAATTAAACACACCTGATCAAACTAATTGAGTCCTTTAGGCTTGTTTAAAACCTACAGGTAAGTGTGTTGGAGCAGGGTTGTAACTAAACTGTGCAGGGCTTCGGCCCCCCAGGAATTGAGTTTGACACCCCTGTTATATATAAGCTTTGTTTAGTGAAATCATTACTCATCCTTGACTAGAAAAACATACGCATAGTTATTTAGACAGTCTATTGACTTTATAGGGACATATCTGCAGCCTAAAATGCCAGTCTCAATGAAATGTCTCAATACTTATGGAATTATTTTGCTTAAACTGTTGTGTTCTGCTGTAAATATTGTAATGATTTTCTTTTTTTATATCTCAAGAAACAGTATAGGCTCGCAAAAACCCGATGGTAGTGTTTAATACAACATTTCTAGCAGTTTATTTTCACTGAACATCAAGTTAGAAACGAAACAGAAGCTTTATCTACTGGCTCTGGCTGGGTGGGTCACAATTTAAAAATGTCTAAGGATGAGGGTGTGTCACATGTTGAACCTGACCAACTTTACCTTTAAGTGAACAATGATTTTGTTCCAACATACTTTGAACATTAATCCGCAAGCTCTGACGTAAAAAAGAGAAAGTGAAGTAAACTGAAGTGAATTCAAAGCATTTTCACCATTGTTTTGCCCGCCGTCTGCTATTATAGATATCAAATATCATTCATGAAGCAAACAATCCAAACTGTATTTACAGGTATTACAACAAGATCAACATTTTAAAATCAAGGGCCTTTTAAATTAGCAAAATCGCTTACCTGTGAGCAGTTCACGCCACTATAATGGTTGGAAACGATTGTAACGTTGGAGGAGTTTGTTTGGTGTTAAATGATTAAAACCCCATTCATTTAATGCAGGCACTTTCTTCATATTTAAATCTTGTCCTGTAGCATTAGAGTCGGAAATTAAAGTAGACTTGCGGCCAAATATACCAAAATTAACAGAAATTCCCTATTATATTTAGGATATTGGTAAATATACCGCCCAAGTGTGCCGCAAGCTTGCGTTTGAGTGAAGGTCTCGGCCGTTAGATCGCCCCCTGGGGGCTGGCTGCAGTACAAGTCATAAAGCCCGCCTCATCCGTGTTAATGAAGGAGACTTGAGCCCAAATAAAAAAATTAATTACACTTGCAATAAAATGTCCCGAAAGATGGTTCTGGTCGATTAAGGCACTGATTATTGTGCTGAAATAGGTACAGATCCTCATTTTTGTAAACAGTTTGTTTTTAGCAGTAATTTAATGCTGGGCGTGTCATCGTGATTGACAGCTGTGATTTCTCAAAGCGCGGCGTCTGAGCTTCGGCAGAAGACTGAAGTGTTATTACTCGATTTCTGTGATATTTTACTATGACAAAATGAGTTCAGCAGTAAACTACAGTTTCTGACATACATGATCTGGTGGAACACTGTTTATTCGCTAAGGTCAGAGCTTTTTTCGGGCTTTATTAGTTTGCTAATACACGCCTAGCCACCCAGATAGCAAAATACACTGGGGCCAGTTCTTGCCTGCCGGAGACTTACCCCTCAGACTGACTACCTCTGCTGGACCTACTCCGGATGCCTGGACTTACTGCCCGATTCCAGCCTGAGTCAATTGAGCCAGATGCGGGGGCCGAGCGAGCAGGCGCTGCCGCATGCGAGCCGGAATCAGCCCGCGACGCCGCGACTAGGTTATGCGCTGATGCCCGGAGCTGGCGCGATTGAATCTTCATTATATAAAACCCTCACATTTGTTAACGTTATTACACCCATTTTTGTTGATATAACAACAAACGCATGCTACTATGTGAACGCAAAGTGTATCACTGAGTTTAACCTTTGAATAAAGATGCAAACAGCATAGCAATTATTTAAATAAAGGACAAAATAAATAACAATAAACCTGTATCGATTGCACAAGTATTAAATAATAATAATAATAAATACGAAAATTACAATAAAACTGCACAATAAAATAAACCCATTTAAGTACGGGGTATACAGGAGATCGTTAGCAGTAATTCTCTTTGTGTTTAAATAATAATCTCCACGTTGATCTCCTGTAAGGTTATTTGAACTTGCTTTATAGGACGTCTCTGCATTTTAAGTTTTGGCATGTTATTAAGTAATCTACTGAATTTGCTGTTATAAATCATTATAACGTTCTTGAAATCGAATCTTATATAACCTAATAGAGCTGTAAATGTTAGATATTATTTATTTACATCATTTACTGTTGGCGTTTTATTTGAACACTCCAGCTAACATTAAAAAGAATGTAAATTCCTCGTTGCCAGATATAATGAAGGCATCGAATAAACCAAATGAAAACGGAGGCAAAAAAATGTAATAAACAATTCAAGCGAAAATGAATAAACAATATACTAGTGATGTTACAGCAGATAGACGTTGTATTACCCAGACAGCACACATACGTTGGGCCGACGTCGTGCCGACTTTCAAAATTCCATCGGCGCGATGTCGCTCAGGGAGCGTTTGCTAATTGGCAAAATGTCGCCGCGACGTCGGCAAATGATCGGAAACGCTGTCCGGCCGATGTTAGGACGACGCAACCGGAAATGCCCGCCGCTCCGCGGAGGCGCTGTTCTCAGGCGTTTTGCTCCATACTTATGGACCACTAGCTGCAGCAGCTGCTTATTTATAATAAACACGACACACCACTCTCAATAACAGTTGAAGATTTATTAATATTTTTCACAAACATACAAATAGATTAACATACTTTTATCACACATAACCATGTTTTACTACGTTTAAAACAAAACCAACAAGTTGTACTATAACCATGGCTGAAATACTGTGCAATAAAGATTTTAAATACAAAGTCCATTGCAGCATTTACATTAAGACCATAGGAATATTTACAAGTACTTCAAAACATGTACACTAAGGGTGACTATAGTTTACTATGGTAAAAACACAAATCACTTGTGTAAGCACATGTTATAATGCTTATAATTTCTTAAATAGTGTTAAAGAAAATGCATGTTTCCAAGACTATAATTTTAAAATACAAGATAATACCAGTCATGTGTTCAGTATCCAAAAGACTTTCTTCAGGGAGTTACATTAAAAAAAGAGTACACAAACACAAAATAAATACCAAGCAAACATTATTTACAGTAGTAAATAAAATCATACAAATTAAAATAATTGTCTGATAAAATTTTATTAAAGTCTGTAGTCAATTTTTTTAAACATTTTTTTTATAAATGGCATTCAACAATTTGCAATCTCCTCTGAACTAATAACACACCAATAATATAAAATAATACTTTCTCAGAGATAACCAGTTTTTTTTAAGCAAACTCTAATGCACGACACAAAACAGATTTTGTCATTCTATATATATATATATATATATATATATATATATATATATAAAATCCCTTAATTTCTGTTTAACGGAAATATTTTTTAACACATTTCTAATCACAATAGTTTTAATAACTCATTTCTAATAACCGAGTAAATAATATTTGACTAGATATTTTCAAGACACTTCTATACAGTTTAAAGTGACATTTAAAGGCTTAATTAGGTTAATTAGCTTAACTAGGCAGGTTAGGGTAATTACGCAAGTTATTGTATATCGATGGTTTGTTCTGTAGACAGTCGAAAAAAATTGCTTAAAGGGGCTAATAATATTGACCTTAAAATGTTTTTTAAAAAATTCAAAACTGTTTTTATTCTAGCCGAAATAAAAGAAATAAGACTTTCTCCAGAAGAAAACATAACATTTTCTTGCTCTGACCTATATTTATATAAATAAAACTGGTTGTAAATTGTGTACAATGTTCCAAGAAAACAGACAAAATGAAAAGAAATAACCTGTCATTTACTTTTGTTTTATCTTGTGGAATGTTGCTTACACATAAAAGGGGATATATAGGTGGAATAAAAAGTGTGTCGCCATCCTCGAAATTGTTCTAGTATGTTGTCTTCATCTTTAGTCTTCACAAGTGAGGCTGGCCCAAACCGGGACTGCAGTAGCCAAATCTAATCCTTGTAGTGGGAACCCTTAAATAAAGCAAGAAACCAAAAGGAGAAAGATTAGCATTTGAGCAGTTCATATTACCACAAATATAAATTATTTGTTTCATGACATATAACTGGAGTATGTGTTATGCAAGTGACTAGCTAAAATGTGTAATTTAATTTAAACTTAAAGAGTGTGTCTGAGCACTAATTTTCATAAAAGCCATTTGAAAGTTAAATTCCTTGTGAAATCATAATGAATGTTTTTTTTTTGTTTTTAGTATCATTGTGTTAGTATAAATGTGTCTCTAAATATATGTCAAATCTTCAGATACCACATTACATGCAAATTAAACTAAGTTTCTTCAACTAAAATGTCACACTGTACACCACATTTAATATATCATAGCTAGGGCCAGGAGGAATCTGCAGATGTTTTTTGCTATTTCTGCTGAAAATTATGGTGGAAGTCTGCGGATTTCTGCGGAATTATTTTGGGAGTATCATAACTAAAACCTTAATATATGAAATAAAAAATAATATATTTTAAAGTTTTATTTAATGTTTAAAATGCAAATCCAATAAGATTCACTTTATTTGGTAAATAAAGCAAGTTTTTCATGTAACATATCTAGTAAGAAAAAAAAAAATATTACTGTACAAACTGCATTGTACATAAATCAGATGAACATTTTCACATTAGTCAATAATATTACTGAAATTAATTAAAAAACTGAATAAATATAGATTTACACACATTTACTTAAGAAAATAAACAGAATTAATGATAGGCTAAACATCTGCAGAGTTCTGCGAAAAATCCGGGTGAGCCTAATCATAGCTTTATTTCTGCTACAAAAAGGTTTTTCAGCAAATAACTTCTATTATATGTAGGCTATAGAGGAGGATATATAAAGAAATTATATATTCAACTCTCTAATTAAATGCACCTGATGCAGCTAATCAAGTCTTTTAGGCTTATTTGAAAACTTAAATGACGTGTTGACCACAGTTGAACAACGCTCAGTGAGAATACTTTTTTTCCACAAATTCTTTTTGTTCTAAAGAAACATGTCTGATTGCTAGCAATCATCAAAGAGCAAACTTTTTTTTTTCAAATAAATACTATGCTTTTAAAAATAAACTTTTCATACATCAAGAATACTAAAAATATGTTTATTTAAAATGTTTTATATATAAAAAAAACAGCTTGAGGAGAGAATCAGTACATTGGAGTATTATTTTTTCAGAAGGATCATGTGACACTATTAATTATATACATTGTATTAAATTCACAGTATTACTGCTTGACTGTATTAATTAAACAAAGCTGACACTATCAGAAGAGAATTTACCATACCAACCTAAAAGCTATGAAACAGTAGTGTATGTTTAAGATGTTACTTACTAGTCCTATTGTACTTTGGAGAGGTTGTCTGACAGGAGGATCCCTTCAACTCAGCAGAATTCTCAGCAGACCATCAGCGTACACCAATCTAAGAATAAAATAAGCAATTTGTTAAAAACCAAAAATATATATTTTATATTTCCAGGTTTATAGGAAAGAAGAAAGCTAAAGCAGATTTAAAATGTAGAAAAAAATAAAACCTATTGACAATTTAATGGCACAACATACCCTAAACTAAGCACGCTCAAATGGTTAATTTTAACTGTTAAGGATTCATTCATTCATTGTCTTTTGGGCTTAGTCCCTTTATTAATCTGGGGTCACCACAGCGGAATGAAAGGCCAACTTAGCCAGCCTATGTTTTACGCAGTGGATGCCCTTCCAGCTGTAACCAATACACACTCATTCACACACACTTATACACTATGGTCAATTTTAGCATACCCAATTCACCTATGTCTTTGGACTTAGCACCCGGAGGAAACCCATGCCAACACGGGGAGAGCATGCAAACTTCACACAGAAACGCCAACTGACCCAGCCGAAGCTT